AAAAGGGATAATTCGGTACATGTGTGTGGTGATGGGTTGTAATTAGTATTTTGGTGGTGAACATGATGTAATCTATGCAGAAATAGAAGTATAATGACGTACACCTAAAATTTATACAATGTTATAAACCAATGTTACTGCAATAAACAAAGAATTAAAAAATAAATAAATAAAACTAATGTTGCTCAAAAAAAATAATAATAATTTTGTAATATCAAGGAAACATGATTTTTTTTTTTTTTACCAAACTCCATATAGATGCTCCTAAATCCCCTCCAGTTTACCCCAGAGTGTAGGACAACTTTTTTGCTACATGAGTCATAACTTGTAAAAGATGTAGCATGCCTTAGAGAACTTTCCGTGCATAAACAAATGCATATGTTTGTTTATGTATATATACACATATTTATCATATATGTTTATAAAATTATATTTATATAAAATCATATATTAATTCTATTATATTGTAAACATTTATAAAATTCTATATTTTTACACAAGTGGAATGATAGTGTACATATAATGCAAAAACTGTCTCTTTTTCTTTAAACATAAAGTTTAGTCTTCTTTTCTTATTAGTATGTATAGAACTGTCATTCTTAAAAATGACTGCGCAGTATTCCATATAGTATGGCTGTATCGATGTCCTATAATTTGTTTTATCAGTCTCCTATTAAAAACATTCAGGTTGCTTATAGATTTGTTTTGTTTTTGCTATCACCAATAATGCTGCAATGAATATTTGTAGAAGAAATTCCTAGAAGTGGAATTGTGGTGCCAAAGGCAATGTGATTTAAAGTTTTGATAGATGCTGTGAAATTACTAGCAAACTTTAGCACCAATTTATTCTCTCACTTACAGTTTAAGAGGGAGCCTGTTTTCCTACACAATTTCCAACAGTCTTTTAAATTGTCAATCAGAGAGTTGGAAGGTGCTATCTTTCTTTAATTATGGGTGAGAAAATAAAAGGGAGATATGAGAAACTGGATTGCTCATGCTAAATAATTTGATCAACAGTCACCTGTAGGAGAAAACATAAGGACTTAATAGAAATTTAGCTCTTAATTATTCTACGAGGCAGTAAAAGAAAAATAGGGAATTATGATAAATAGTTTTGGTAGAAACTTTGCTTTCACTTCAAGAGTGTTTTAGCCACTATTATAATGGACACTGACAATGATCGCAGTGTCTGTCATGCTGGAAAGGCAAGTTATAGAACACAGGTCAGGGACTGAGAACCAGGAGACCTGGAGTATAGCCTTTGTATAACTGGTCTTCTATAATCGTCTTGTTTATAATTAGTCCAAATCATTGAACTGTTTAGCTCTTCTGTGTCTGTTTTCTCATGTGTGTAAAGCAAGGGGTTAGGACCTCAAGACATGACGTTAAAAAATGTCATGAGTCTAGGAATGTCTAAATTCAATAAATATTGTTATTGATGAGGATTTCCAAAATGAAAACCTTCTGATTCTACTTCTCCAGTAGGTGGTGATATTACAACACCCAAAACAGTGATCTACTAACTGACAGCAATTCTCCCCTCAGGATTCATTTTGGAAATATTCTTTGCCATTGTAGTAAAATTTTAATGTATATAAAGAGTGCATTTATAAAATTCATTACGTTACATTTAATATATTCACTTAGCATATCAATTGATTGTTAATTTGTTCTTTTAATGTCTATAGAAATCGAATTCCAAATCCAATTACTTCAGATGACATGGTTTCCAATCTGTCATAGTTTCTTTAATTCAGTTAATTTCACAAATAGCTTTGGTTTTAATTAATCGATTTATATAATTAGAAGACTAAGAGTGGATACAGATTGAACTTTATCTTTTTTAAACTTTAAAAATATTATATAAGAAGATAATAGTCGAAGGAAACCCTCAAATAAGGTCTCTGGATATCTTGTTAGAAAGTCAACTTTTACTAATTGCATAATGATACAGAAAACCAAAGACATCGACCGAAAAATTAGAAGTTCACAAAGTTGAAAGATTTTAATGTAATCTTCAAAAAATCAATTGCATACTTACATTAATGACATGTAGTTAGAAAATATCGAAATAAATGTAGGGGCCAGCCCGGTGGCGCAAGCGGTTAAGTGCGCGCCCTCCGCTGTGGTGGCCCGGGGTTGGCCGGTTTGGATCCCAGGCGTGCACTGTCGCACTGCTTGTCAGGCCATGCTGTGGCAGCGTCCCATATAAAGTGGAGGAAGATGGGTATGGATGTTAGCCCAGGGCCAGTCTTCCTCAGCAAAAAGGGGAAGATTGGCAGATGTTAGCTCAGGGCCAATCTTCCTCACAAAAAAAAAAAAAAAGAAAGAAATGTAATAACTTGGCACCAAAAGCTTGCCTAAATGGATAGTGGATTTATCTTGGAAGATAAAATGTATATTAACAGAATAGAATAAAACTTTAGTAGGAAAAATAAAGGAAGACATAATTACAGAGATTAAATATAGTAAACATGAAAATACTATTTAAGTTAAATATAGATTAAATGTAAATATACATTAAGAACTCATATGGAACATTTTATACAAATTGGCAAGTTAATAGCGAAAACCTGGAAAAGACAGGAAGCAAGTATATAAAATAATTTTTTAAAGATAATAATAATTGATTTACTCTTTAAAATTTCCAAACAGTTTACAAAACTCTGTCAAAATTAAGTGGTAACTGGAGAACAATGTTAAAGGTGATCATGGAAATAGAAAAGACATTTTAGAAATGGATTATTATGATAAAAATGTTTCACTCCCCAAATATAGAATGTTTACTGATCCCTACATCATATAAAAATATCTGTGTTAATATAAAACACTTCTACCAGGACTGACCCTGATGAAGGCTACCATGCATGATCAAACACTAGTTCTTAATGTGTTCTGAGGTCAGATTAGAAGACCTAAGTAGAGTTATTTTGTGCTACTTAGAAAAAAAAATCTTTGAAATT